GAGAACGAGACTCACGAGAAACACTAACCGAATATCCAAACGATATTCGGCGGATGGCATAAGATAATATCAGCCTTAAACATGTGAAAGCCCATCGTTAAAATTAACGTCATGAACAGTAATAAAGAGTTACAGTTAATGTCTATATCCACGACGCAAATGATTTTCTGAGGTTAAATTCCATTACATATTTACGGTTCGCACCTTGCTTTAATTTTCACAACTATCTGGTTAAGGCAAACCGCAGTCGTAAAGCGCAAGTACTGGACAGCATGCTCTAGTATGACTACCCCAGAACACCACGTTTCCCCTAGTTCGCAGATCAACGAACAGCTACTCATTTCTCGGATAGAAGTTCACCCAAGCACCGTGTGATGAATTTCTTGTTCAAGAAAATTTCATACGCTGGCAATCAGTGAAAATCAAAGTGTAATTACACAGAGTTCAAATAAGTATCATATCGATGATAACGATATGACGATAGCTGTCATCGATCACTGCTATTGTTATCGTCACTTAAGACTTGCAAAGGTTGAACAGTACAGTAGCGTAAATCGACGTTTGCCCGTTAGAAATGGTATTTTAGAATAATTGACAAAATTCGTTGTTGCAGCAAAGGTTATATTCCCTGTTGCAAACAAGTCAACCTTTAAGAGAAGTTTATATTTCCTAATTCTATACTGGCTTTGTCTACGACCAGTAGGCGGTTACCACTTTAAAAAGGTTTTAACACATCTGCATTCTCTTTCAGGGTCGTTTCTTCAAACAGCAAGGCGCTGGTTTCTGAATATTGAAAATTTTTCTCGGACTGCTGGTGGTCAGGAGCTGCTCATTCGTGATCCGATGATACTTTGCGGATACTTTGTAGATAGCGTCTCTGAAAGCTCTTTTTCACGACAGTCGATCCGGTCATCTGTACAGCAATTATTTGTGCTGAGTACAATCAAACCATGCTTATGCCTTTTCTCAACCTAAACTTCTGCTTGCATGCATGACCATGTAAATCAAGCACAATACATGTGACACCTTTACCCATATATATTTGCGATATTTCGGAAACTTTTTAAGCTATTTTTCCGCCTTGAATTTGCAGCTCAAATAAATCTCACAAATAACCTGATATGCGCTGTTCGTATGTCTCTTCTATCCGTCGCACAGTCTGCGCTTTGATACATATATCAAGTGTCCCTGTTCGAATTAGGTCAATTCAGTTTCCATGCCCACTTCTCGTTTCGGATCGCGGAGACAGACGGACGTGTCAGACAGTGCTCCTAGTTTCCATGTTTCTAGCTAACGTTTTTAATTTAAAATAGGCTAAATGTTATGTTTTCGTAGCATAAGTCTACACTTTAGTGAAGAGGCAGAGTCGGAAAAGCAAAACAACAGCCACATTCATACGAGAAAAGAAAAACTTGAAGTAACGCAGACAGGAGGCAAAAATGTATTCAATTAAGGTACAAATTAAGAGACAACGCTTGAAACTGAAACTAAACGTGCGAAACTGGAATAACACTGATCGAATGAGTGCATCCTTAAAACTGAAAATTTCTCATTTTCGGAAACCGACTTGCCTGCGACCAATTAACTTTCGCCTGCATCCTCTTACTGAATTACAAACGTGCAAAGAGCCACTAACGGAAAGAACATATCGCTGCCGTAAAACTTCCCATCAGGAGTGGAGAGCTTAAACTTTTCCGAACGAAAACTTCGGTTCCTCTCTGCCCTATCGCAACTTTGGAAGCTCGCTCAAGACAGTAGTGGATATGTTGGGTAAACTGAAAAAGCATACTACAGCACAGAGGAATGAAAAGAGTTGCCACCAAACATCTACTACGCTGCGGTTTCCCCGCATCATTAAACAACGATAGGAAGAAATGAGGTGGGACTCAATCGAAGCTACAACACAACTTTATGTCTTCATACCCGTTAGCAGCTTTGCGTGGGTAAACAAAATCTTATCATTGCGCTGTCCTTACTATTAGAAGAAAAATGGCGCCGTTAGATAAATCATTACCTTGAAAATAAAAAGTTACGAACCTTAAGAATTTCAAGATACTTTCTAGCTTTGCTTCAATCACTTCTGATTTTTCTTCAAGGGAAATTACACAATGTTCAGTTACAAATGTAATATTCGCTCCGTACTGAAAGATCCTTCGTACCGTGATCACTATTCACCGTCCACATGTTCTGGTGATTTACCTGCTGAAAAGTAAACCTAGTTAAGATTTAACAAAGCCAGTAAGCCTGGTAATCAAACTAAATGACTCCCAAGAACGTCCAAGGTGACTAACGATTTACGAAATGACGGCAGACTAAGCACAAAGAATCGAAGAAAGTAGCTTTATTCTACCCCATATCTTCCATTACACGTCTTCTCGCTAAGGGCAGAACGTGATGTAGGTACCATTACCATAACATTTATGCATAAGCAGAAACTTTGACACAAGAGAGTGATATGCCATTTATGACTTTTTTGTTAATATGTGCGATAGACCACGTATGACAAAATTTCAGTCAGGCTGAAAGAGTTCGACGGCCACGTCAGCTGGTCAAAGGCCAACAAGTGACCGCTGAACACAATGAGTAATAACGAAACGAACGGACCAGTGGGATATTACAAGAAACCCAACGCGCAATACTACGCATCAAAGCTGACCTGCGTAAGACCGGCCACCTCTTTGATCGTCTCGTTCATGTGGTGAAGGATTTCGTCCGAATCAAGCACCTCAAAGTGGTACTCCTCACCGTCTCTACGCTCTCTTGTGCTACTGCCGTGCTCCTCCTCCAGCGCGATGCCCAGATCGTCGTCATCGTCGCAGCTGGCAGGAGACGAAAATGCATCAGAATCTGCTCCAGCTTCATCATAAGTGACGAAGTCATCGTCGTAATCCATTCCTGCATACCAATATCACCGCACAACAGCTATCAAAAATCTCAAATGATAGGCGCTACCTGCAGATTACCGTAATTTACTTAACTAACTTATACTAGTTGAGCATCCGGTAGTCAAAAATGAAATATAAACAGCTGTTCTGCCATTGACTTTAATTACTCAAATTTTAATAAATATTCGTATTGAATATTAAAAATGGGGCTAAATATTGTTTAAACACTGATCTTAGCTTATTGCTTACAACATTTATTTTGGCTTTGGATATACATTTTTCATCCACTGTTTGAATATTAAATCGAAGAAACACACCGTTATTCGAAGTATATCAATTTAAACTTTTCATTATCCCACACCAACGCTCCACTACCCGATGGTAATAAATTTCGACTGGACCTTCTATATCTCTTTACCAGAAGATATGACTGACACATTTCGAGGTGGAGATGGAGCCTGGTTGGACAGATCGGAGAGATGGAAACCATAAATAAAGTCGACCAGTCCAAGGATCTCGGCTCAATCATCTCAGATGATTGCACCATCCAATCAAAATTAAACGGGAGGATTGCCCTTCACATCTAATGCTCTTAGTAATCTGAAGGTCGCATATTTTGGCTGAACTGCGCAGCCCTATCCACAAAAATTGGCTTTGCCTTACCTCTGCTAGATCAATGTTGTTGTAGGCATGGAAATACTTTTTTTAACAATAGAGCTAGAATGAAGGTTCATCTGCATGTAGCAACGTTGACTTCGATGTATAATGAGGATTAATTAACAGGATCACGCAAAGAATGACTCAGTTCACTACCAGGCACTTGTGACCTCAATAGACGTTGAGATTAAGAAAAGACGGTTAGCTTTCTTAGATAAACGGATTGGACAGAAACCATTTATCTCAACTCGCGAGCTCTGGGCTGAAACACGACAGACGTCGTTCGGAAGACCAGCGTGCAGGCTGGAAAAATTAGGTAGCGGCAGATCTGATTTAAGAGATGAAAATTTTCTTTTACAAAACAGGAAGTTGCTTTTCAGCAAAACTGTTGTAAAATTGCCAACACTACAGACTTTACAATCCAGAAACGCCTGCCTATACAAACGGGTCAAGGTGCTAATCATCCACTCACACTTCCAGCGAAATCCGATCTTTCACCTCTGTCAACAGGGATTCCTAATTTGCGTTTAACTGGATCGGTTTATGATTTTTCTCCCTGCCTCTCGCAAGCTACCAGTGAACGGAGTGTAGCTTCTATCCCACCGTGCCTAACCGAATTTTTCGGCAAATGATCCTAACAACTTCCGTCCGGTAACCCTCTCGTCCGCTCTTCAGTAGAGTTTAGAAAGTCTCATTCTGCCAGTGTTAGAAAAACGGTTTGCCGCTAGTATAGATCCATGCTAGTCCGCGTATCGGAAAGGTTTTTGGGAACGACGACGCTGCGTCTATATGTAACTAATTATGTTGTGAACGAGCTGGTAGTCGAACTAAAAGGACATGATTTTCTGACTTGTCATCTGCTTTAAGCACGGTCATCTCGCGGCAAACTATTAAGTGATAAGTGTGAAGTCTATGATACGATGACATGCAAACAACCTCTCTCATCGTCATCAAATTATCAGAGTTGATCGAAGAGAGCAGAATCGTATGGAAATCAGCTTTGGCGTTGTTCAAGGTTCAATCCTTTAGCCCTTGTTATTTAACATATTTACGAATGACTTCCACATTTCTGATTCATTCAAATGATTTAGCACGCTGACGACAGTGTCGTTGTTAGTTTTCTGCAATCGTCTGATGACTGAAATGCTTATACAGAGAGCATGCAGGGCATATGCCGTAACTTTCCTAACGATGAGCTCATGCTTAACCCAAATAAAACAAGAGAATGCTCTCATGCGTCCATACATGAGAATCTGACGATGATCTGAGTGCGCAATATATGATACAAGAAGATGAGCATCTCTCGATCTGTCGGCAGTGGCCACGTTCCTTAGAGATCAGTTGGTGTTACAATTGCTGTATATGAAATACCTAAAAGGTATTCATTCATCTCGACCTCAAGGGTGCCGCCACATTGAAGCTATGGCTAATGGATGAAGAAATGTATCGCTCCATGCCTTATCCCGGAGGACGTGCGAAGCTATTAGATGCTTTGTCTTTGTACGCATTATCTTTATTTGCATCTGCGCAACCGCTGTCACTTTTCCAGGACTGTTGACTTGAGCCTTTAAAATAATAGGAATGTGGCAGACTTTGTTCAAGATTCAGTGGCCTGTCATGCAACCGCTTAGCTCAACGTGTCACTGAGGCAGCAATCTCTCATGGTACGCAAATATAGAATAAAGACCTGAATGATCAAACACATGCTCATCATTACAGCGTAGTCAGTCATGCATAAAACGCGACGCATCCTCCAGATCCAGGCTTGCTCACGTAGCTTCCCGAACTGAGTTCCACAGGAAGTCATTCACTGAGGCTTCGGCACGACTTTTCAAAGATTGCAATGCAGTGGAGCAGTATTGCTCAGTAATGCTGAACGTAACGTAGTTTGTTTTTCTAATGCTGTGGTGTCCATGCCATTCTGTTAGCTATCCCTGTTCCTTTCTAATGTTAGCCTTTTTACTTTTCTGCTTTTTGTGACCATGATA